AAAATGTTCAAAATGAATTCTAATATCATAATATATTGTTGCATGAAGATAAGGAAAGGTTGCTAAAGAAGAATTAAGAATAATTCTAACGCGTAACTGCAAAGATTTCTTCTAATTTTATGCGATCAAGAGGTTAAAGAATAATAGATGACTTGCCAACCGTTAAACTTATATGTGATGTAAATTAATTAATGCAGTAGCAGATACAGGCCACAGTTAACCGTTGTCAAGACCGACATGTACCAGAAAAATACCGTACGCCACATGGAAGTGTTATCCTCACGTCAGCTTTCGACAAGCTTTAAAAGCTCCTCTCATTAACCTACCTTTAGTAATATGTTCTAAATGATAAATTTATGTCACCTATTTTTTATAACATGCAATGGGATCGTTATGTAATGATTTACTCTTGTCGTTAAGTGCTTTTATGAGTAAGGGGAGATGATAAAGAAGTTTAATTTTGAATGTAAAATTAAAGTGCTACTGAGAGTTTCGGTGAAATTCCTTTTCATAAACTGAAAATTTGACGAAATACTTAACCTGATAGGGAAAACCTAATTAATGAAATGTATGAAACTGTTAAAAGATATAATGTTGTGCTCTTGTATATGAAGATACAGGTAAGGATGATTCCAAAGGTAGCACTGGACACGATCATGTTTCGGATTCAGAACTGTTTCGATTGCAAAATGATGACCCTCTTTAGAAACATCTGGCAAAATGTTAAGAACGAAGTAATAACTTAATTGTTTATTGACACTTTTTGTATCATAAAGATAAAGTTCTAGAGAAAGAGTTACCATTAGTCGTTCCTAAGGAAGAAGAAAACAATTTTGGAGAGCTCATCTAGCTTGTGGAATCACCTGCGACCAGAAGACAGTGAACGTTTGAGATATTCGTTCTATTGGCCTGAAATCAAGAAAGATGTAATAATACTAGTGCTTGTCTCTTGTCACTTCAAGCGAAAAGCGTCCCTTTGATGAAGTTCCGATTATGCCAGTAACACGTCCTAAGAACCATTCCAGGAATTAATGTGGATATTCCTAGGACCTGTAGAGCCAAGCTGTAAGGTTACAAATATGTTCTGTGTGCTGTTGATCAATGTACAAGGTGGCCCGAAGCGGTGCCATTGAAGAATTGAATGCCAAAGCAACATGCGATGCATTGTTGCAAATCTTTTCACGCACAGGAATTCCTCAAATTGTTGCTTCAGATCAAGGACTAATTTACTGCTTCGTTTGACCCAAGAGTTTTTGAAAAGGATCGGATCGTCCCCAAGATCTCGACTCCTTATCATCCAAGTCAAATGCCTGGAGAAAGATTTCAGGTGTTAAAGGAATGACATCATCGTTAGAGAACATTCGAAAGATTGGAGAAACATCACCGTATTTACTTGGGCTTACCGAGAAGTTCCTAATGCTACGACTAGTGTTAGTCCGTTTCCAAATGCTTTATGGAAGACGTCCTATGCCCTTGTCTATTTTGAATCGTCATGGACTAATAAAACTCTTGTTCTCAGGACATTTAATTCAGTACCGATTATCTGAATGATTTGAAGACGAAATTGGAAAAAGCTGCTGAACGCAGGACTTACAGTGTTGGAAATCACAATCTTCTGCATTTAAACCGTACGAAAGACTCGTCATAAAGAATTCAAGGAAGTGACGGGTTAAGTTTTAATCCCTGCCAAAACAAAATTTATGCCAGATGGACGGGACCTGCTACGATATCAAAGCATACTGTTAGTTACATAGTACAATGTCCTGACAATTCATCGAAGCACGTTCACGCAAACAAGATACGAGAGTTCAATACCGCTGTGAATAATAGTGATATATGATACAGATATTGACTTCAATAAAGTTGAAAACGTTCCAAGAATTGTTCCACGGAAAGCAAAAAAACACTATTCTAATGAAGAATGGGATTTTACGCACCTTGAACAGCATAAGAGGAAAGAAATTTTAAGAAGGCATAAGAACCTAAGAGCTGATATTCCGAAAATCGTTAATGTTGGAGAACACAGTATCAAACTGAAACCTGAATGTATGCCAAAAAAGCAGAAACCGTATCGGACACCCGAAGTTCTAAGAAATGAAGCTGATCGTCAAATAGATAAGCTTTACAGCTAAAGCTAATCGTTGATCAGAAAGTGAATGTGCATCCAGTAGTTTATGTGTCACAAAATATAACGGTAACATGTGCAACTAAAAGACTATGCTGATTTTATTGATGACGTGACTTAAAATGACATGATTATATTCCCATTAGTGAAGCATGATTGACGTTATGAACTATGAACTATAAGACATTTTGGTGTTTAGTTTGATTTTTTTTTTTTTTTTTGCTAAATGCTAAATTTTTTCTAACGTTATGTAATGTGTTTAAAGATTTAGCTAGGGTTGCTAAAGTATTATGTTTAATGTTAATGATTGATTTGTATTGTCTCGTTTATATGATAACTGCTTATATGATTATGATTATGTGGAAAGATTTAAGTTTGAAATGTTAATTGAATGTCATCTTTTAAATGAATAGGATACTGAATTTATGTGAAGTTAATTTTAATTAAAATGGTAAGAATTAGTTAATTAAGTTCGACAATTTCGTGGATGTTATTTTGTTTTGTTTCAAGAAATGTTTATATATGTGGATTTGACAGGTCATTGAAAGACGCAATCAAATCTTTTCGAGGGGAGGTGTCATGACGTGATGACAACGCATGCGCAGTTCAGCCGAACGGCCTGCAACGCCTCTCTCTCATGAGACTTACTGGAGAAGAGTAGTTAGTAGGTAGTAGCGAGGTAACGAAGGAAACGTGTTTTATGTCAGCTTAGATGCGAGATACGAAGTGATCCTTGTGTGTTCATCGTTTGTACTTATTATTTTTATTTGTGTGTTAATAAAGTGTTGTGCCGTTAAAATGGCTTGTTTTATGCAACGAACACAATACGCTACGTCTACGGTAGGAAGTATATACATATCCAGAAACTACACGCCCAAGAAAAGAAGGATATGACATTACCTTAACGTTTTCTGCTACGTCACACTACCAAGTACTATCACTCACTGCTTTAGCAGATTTTGCCATTAGAACAACTTTGCACTGCTCTATATTAATGTCTGAATACTTGAAGTGATCAGGGAACAGTAGCGTTACAGCCACTGGTACCCATGAATTTATTGGTATTTTACATTCTTAAGTTGCGTGTATCTTTCTCACTGTAAAGTCAGCACTCAACTAATACAGGTTTAATTATTATTTTATTACAGGTCCATCTTATTTTTGCCAATACAAGATAAAACATACCAGCATCAATCCTCAAGTTACAAGTGCTACCATTTCAACAACAAGAACAGGAGTCATTACTTCACACAGTTTGTTCACAGATAAAGTTTATACTGAATACATATAATTAAATATAAAATGTGTTTAAAATTATAAAAATTATGCATTAAATCTTAAAAATGATATACTATTATTTAAATGTTAATTTTACTCCAGAACCTTTTTTATACATTATTTATGTCATATTTTTAAACTTAGCATGTGTTATTGTCAAGCCTAATTTAGAGAATAAAAATGCTGTTGGCTGGTGCCGCCATCTGTTGAGGAATTTTAAACTATTCGTTGTTCCAACAAGTTTGATGGTCATTGGTATCTTTCAATTAAGGTTTCTTTGGATTATTTAATTCAATATGCCCCCACAAGTGGGCTTATGAGTTAACTTTCAGTAACCGTAACTCACTGGTAGTCAACTCATAAGCCATGAACCGTTGTCTAGCCCATGGAAGTTGCTAAAATCCGATAGATCATCTGGCTCTGGAAACTTTCATAGGCGCATGTCTTTCGTTTAAAATTATTTAAAAATTATATTCCGTTGCTTCATAGTGGTAGCCCAATGAGAATAAAACTGTAGATCACAGCCAGTCAATAGTTTTGTCCATGCAATATTAATAAAGATCCTGCTACATTAAAACAAAGCTCAGCAGAACTAAATTGAAAAAATGCAAGAGTTTTTTTTGTTTTTTTTTTTTTTTTTTTTTTTTTTTTTTTTTTTTTTTTTTACACATGCTCCACACACACAGTCCAACACATGGCTCCTGACTGCCAGACAGACAGACTCTCTCACAGTTCAAAGTTACAGTTGAACTGCAGTTAAAATACAGATTGAAAAATTAATAAACATTAGAATTAGAAACAATTAAAAAAAAAAAACTTTACAAATTAGTTTTGGGAATGCTTACAATTAACCAGTACTTTTCCTTTTCAATTAATCATTATTTTATAATTTATTATTAATTTGTTACAATTTCAAGCTAGCAGGCGAGCCATCTTCGCATAACTGCTTCCTGCATAGTGCAGCCGTCTAGTGGTGAGATGATGAAGTGAAAGTTGTTCTAATATCACTCCCTCTCCAGTAACTAAGTTACGATACATAAATTGTCATGACAGTAATAGCAGAACATGATCATTATACCTTATGATCCAATTTCACTTCACATAAAAACATAAAGGAATAAATTACTAAACGTTGTATCAGTTTCTCAAAGTAATGTAGCAAATCAAAGTACAAATTACATTTAAAATATCATGAATTTAAAAATGCTGGAATACATTTGTATATACCACCATTAATAAATATATATACTCCACATATGGGCTTAAATGAACTATTCAATGTGTTACGCTTTCAGTGACATGAAATAGCTAACAGCAATGAAAATATGATCAGTATTATTAAAATATTCATATTGCATAGTAGACATAATATAGATAAGAGTAATAAATTAAGGAATAGTATAACTCAGAGTTTTAATCTTACAGGAAGGTGTATTGCTCTCCCTGAACGAGATTTTGTCGGATGCCTTGCCTCTTTACTTTGGGAGGTGGGTTTAATAACTGACGGTTTGTTATCAGCAATGCTTAGGTTAGAATCTGCAGGGATAGTCTCTGTATTTAAGGTATACGCAGGTTCAAAATCTATCGACCGAAATTTTCACTGGTTCCCTTTAATTGACAGAGAAAAATATTTTTCCTGCCTGTCCAGAACTGGAAATGGTCCCTCATAGGCTGGTTCAAGTGGCTTCTTGATTCTGTCCACTCGAATAAACACTTGTGTACAAGTATCTAAATCTTTGTGCACAAACGCTTTCTGTTGTGGTGTATTTTGCATTTTCACTGGTTTGAGGAGAGCCATATGTTTTTGTAATTTATTCACAAAGCTATCAGGCCCTATTTCACAAGTTGGAGGGTCAAAAAATTCACCTGGTATCCTTATGTTGGTTCCATACACCATTTGAGCAAGAGAATGGTTACCATCCTCTCTAACAGCTGCTCTGAGGCCAAGAAGCACTGTAGGTAGAACTTCAGTCCATTTGATTGAGTTGTGAGCTTTAATTGCAGATTTTAGGGTTCTATGGAAACGCTCTATTTTCCCATTACATTGGGGATGATAGGGCGTGGTGTGGCAAATCTTTGCACAGCATATAACAGCCAAATTTTGAAACAGTTGTGATGTAAATTGTCTCCCTTGGTCTGTTCATAATTCTGTTTGGAACTTCCAAATCTGCATATCCAGGTTTCATAAAATGCTTCTGCTAATTAATTCTGCTGTAATGTCTTCCAAATGGAATTCACCTCAACCCAAGAAAAAAAATCTGTCGATACATGTAAGGCAGTAAAATTTTCCATTTGAGGGAGGCAATGGTCCTATTAAATCGATATGGACCACATTGAATCTGGAGTCTGCTTCTTGGTATTCTCCCAACTTTGTGTGTCTGGTCACCTTGACTCGCTGACAACTAACACAACATCTGTCCCATTGACTTGAATCTTTCTTGATATTTGGCCATACGAACCTGGAAGTCATCTGCTTAACTGTAGATTTGATGCCAAGGTGCGAAAGACCATGTTATATGCTTGAATATCTTTCTTCGAGATGGTTTAGTTATGTAGGGACGAATCTTGTCTTGGGAGGTATTACACCATAAGATGTGTCCAGAAGGGAGCTTATAGCTTTTAAAAATCAATGAAGTCTTCTCCATCAATTAACTTTCTCAGCTCTTCATCCTTAACCTTGTTCCAGTGCAATCTTTTCATAGTCGATAACAGCAATCTCTTCCAACTCGAGACAAGGTATCTGCCACAATATTCTCTTTGCCTATAATGTGCTGGATGTTAGTGGTAAACTGAGAGATGTACTGAAGTTTGTCTCAATTGCCTTGGTGATGCTTTTTTCATTATTTTGCTTAAAAGCAAAAATAAAAAGTTTATGGTCAGTAAAGATTGTGAACTCTCTACCTTCTAACAAATGCTTAAACTGTTTTATGGAGAGAGATATTGCTAGTAATTCTCGGTCATAACGTGCTGTATACCCTCTGTGCTTCATTTAATTTCTTAAAGTAGAAAGCAATGGGTTTCCAGCTTCCTTCATCCAATTGTTGGAGCACTGAGCCTATTGCCCAGTTTGAGGCATCTGTTACATAAGGATAATAGGCAATCAGGTTTGGGAAATGTTAACAAAGCAGTGTTAGCCAAATCTGTTTTGCACTTTTCGAACTGCAATTTGCATTTTTTTTCCTTCCTCTGTCCATGGGACTTTTCGTTTATCCTTTTTCTTAGCACCTTTGAGCATCTCGTGGAGAATGGCTTGTGTTTCTGCTGCATTTTTAAGATATCTGCGGTAGAAATTTACCATACCTAGGAAGTTACGTAAATCATGAATTGTTGTTGGCAATTGGTAACTCAAAATTGCTTGCACGTTTGCAGGGAAGGGTCTTGAACCTGCAGCATTTATGAGATATCCAAGAAATTCTATTTCTTCAACTCCAAACACAGATTTGGATATATTGATGCATAAACCATATTTGTCTAATCTTTCAAACACTAGTTTTAGGTGTTGACTATGCTCCTCTTCTGATGATGAGGCTATTAATACATCATCCAAGTAAGGGAACACAAAAAAAATGTTACACTAGCTAGCAGGCGAGCCATCTTCGCATAACTGCTTCCTGCATAGTGCAGCCATCTAGTGGTGAGATGATGAAGTGAAAGTTGTTCTAACAGTTCTGATGAGCATTGGTGTTCCTCATTCCGTTTTAATTTAAAATATTTATGTAAATTGTTGCGTTATCCCATATTGGTATACATCAACGAGTAATATGTTGTCCACTAGTGACACATATGTTGGTCCTGTTGGTCACCAATAACTAACATCCGTAAGGCTCATACCACAAGACGTTTGTTTCACATGAACAACTGTTTCGAAAAATTTTTCTGCCTGGTTTACTATTGAAAAGGAAGACGTGTGACTTTTTCCTTCCCTTCCAAAAAATTGCAAGTTGTTCGTTTTGAACCAATCAGCTGTCAGCTTCTAATGCTATCACATTGTTTGCAATGGGAAACCGGTTTCTCCTGTGTTAACCCGACAGCGATCTGTGGTGATTGGGCTGCTGTAACAAAGCAAAAAATTGTTCCAAACAGTTGTTCTTCCGAAACAAACCGACGTACGACGGCAGCCTTAGGAACATTAATTTTTTTTTCTATTAAATTTAATATCTAAAATAAAGTACACGGTTCGCTTCGGTGATGTATGGGTTGAGTTTATACGACTCTCAGTTTGGTGACCAAGACCCTTGATTACATTAGTGACTTAAGTGAACGGGAAACATGGGCCCAATCCTATATATAACTAATATATGTAATTCTAAGTCATATCTTTTGCTAACATTGGAAAGATTGTGTAGGCGAGAGAAAGCCAGAATTTGATCTTACGAAACATGTAGCCATGGTATATCAATAAGTCTTATGCAAAAAAAAAAACCGTGCTGAAAAATTTGGTAGTAGGAAAAATGCAGATGCAGCTCACAGAAGTGGAAGTTCATTACCAGAAACTAAAATTTGCGTTTCTAAGAACGATAACAATGATCTACTCGCAATATTGTAGGAGTATTTCTAAGGTTATGTCTTCTAAGGTCGTATACACAGGTTGCATTAGCTTTGACTTAATTCGTCGCATAAGCCGGAGCAGGAACATAAGCTAACATACTGGCTTGCGTCTCTAGCTGGACGAAGCCGGTAAGCTGAGTAGGTTGATTTAGATATCCGGTCATATGAATGATTTGGAGTAGCAGGACTGGCTGAAAATAAAGATGCAATTCCGGCATTGGTGGAGGATAGAGACTTTGACAGAATGATACTAACTTTGGGAAGAAAGCCGAAACGACTGGATGGGAGGCTAACTTTAAAGTTAAGAATTTTTAACCAACTGATAATAAATATAGTAAGCCAGTGAGTTTGCGAGATTATAATTAACTAAATAAGATTAAGATTGCACCAAGCCATTTTTTCATACTATTGTCACTGAAGTCATAATCCATAAATGGAACAGAGCTATTATTCTTTGGTTAATTTTGCTATGTATACATCGACTTTTTGGATACTTCGTGTATAGCACTGTTATGAATAAACAAGCAACTCTTTCTAATTTGACTAAAAGATACATATTTTGAAGAGCTTGTAGTCTAGGAAGTTGGTAATTACATACATAACGCCAGACGGGACAGCATAGGTGTTATGAGATGCAATAGCCTTACCATGCGGGTAACTTATTTTCTAGAGCAGTGGTCTCCAAACTAGGGATTGTGACCAAATTTAGGGCAACGAAAAACTTTTTTGAGGATGCAAGGTTGCTGAAAAGCTGCACAACAGGTGTTCAAACATATTATAAAATACATATTCCGGAGAATTTGGGGTCGCCTAGCACCTCGAAACGTATTGCAAATGTGTGGGGTCGAGACGACTATTTGACTTAATATGATAAGTACTTTATTTGCTAGGCCCATGGGATAACTGTATCATACAAGGTAATATTCATATCGAGCGTTCTCTTGTTGGTGAACACCTCTTCCGACTTTTCAACATTGATTCTTATTTCCCATTTTGTCAGACAGGACTTCAGATGGGTATTAGAGTTCTTCAATTTAGTTTCAATATCGCTATGTTTTCTTCACTGCCCCAACAAAAGCGATGTATGATTCTCAAGCCGTAGGTCACCCTGCAATACAACAATTTAAATATTTTTAAAAACTTATTTCACGGTTTCACATAAGTGACGTATGGATTGATTCCAAGTTATCCTCAACTTGCAAAGTCTCTAGTGACCAACAGCAGTGACTGTAGTGTGCTTCGATCTAGGCTGGTTTCGTGGGCTCGCAAAACCAGTAACTGCGAGAGCCCCTCTCCGCAAGATAATTTGTCATACAATTTACTGCAAATCTGAACAATATTTGTCCCAAATTACATAACAGCTACGTGAAAGGAATGACATATGAATAATGATGAACCGTTACATACCAAGCATAAGTAAAAAATAATAAAAATAAGTGCAATTTCTCACTGAAGCTGTACTATAATTGTCGAAAAACAATCTGTAAACCACCAATGTCGTAACAACTTGGTTGTAGGCTATTGTCACCAAAAATTTAATACATACTCTTATAGTTTTAAATATATATTTAGAAGTATTCCCTCCTTCCGATTTTCTTGTCAGTTATTTTCCTTGAACGGTATTCATATTTCATTGTGCAATTTTCAAATTTTTGAATTTTGGAGAAACTAGTAATTTTCAATCTCCCCCAAATACCACTAGTAGGAACAATGAGATCATATTCTTTGGCAAATGATATGCTTTCTGGTATATCCAGCATTCTCAGGTTGGAATGACTGCAAATGTAGAGTTTAGACCTCTTTTCTATAGAGAGATTTTACAAGTCAATTAATATGTATGCTGTAGGTACAAACATATGTTTTTATATGTGGAATATTTTTGCAATATATAAATTAGATTACGAATAGGAATAACCATATATCATTATTTATGTGATTATATAAATCTTATCCATTGTGATATTCTGCTCCACGTAGCTTTTGTCCGTGTAGTGCAATTTGTTCACTATAGGTCGCATCCGTTTTATCAATCAAAGTGTAAATGGTGTGTATTTTATTTATTTATTTAATTATGACAAAGCACACTAGGGCTATCTGCCTAAAGGGAGGGATGCCTTCATGGAGGACATTCTAAGGAAAACTGGCTCGTATACACGTTACACATGGGGAAAAACCACGAAAACACCCATGCAGACAGCACGTTCGCGGGATTCGAGCCTCGGACCGAAATACCAGTGTTCAGCGACTTTACCGCTCGGCCGCTGGTGGGCCCACCAGCGGCAAAGAGGTAAAAGGCAAAAGGGGAAGTATAAAATGGATTTGTTAAAGACAACATTGAAATAGGAAAGCAAATTATCTGAATGTTCAGAGGAAATCCAAAATGACAGTGTGATTGTAAGTAAATAGTGGGTACTTTTCCTTTTCGCCGGCGCAAATCTCGCCAAGCAGACTTTGTTGGCGACAACATACAGTATACACATAGAAAATGTTAACAAATGCTAGTTCTAAAATTTTTTATTTTGAAGGCTAAACATTTTAATATGGTTTTAATTTGTAAAAAGCCAATAAATAAGACAATAATTTTGTAAAAAGACATTAATTTAAGAATTTACTATACTATCACGTTTCAACCCCCTGGTATCACGTGACCCCCAAGTTATCTCATCTCACGTAAACTCTATACAAAAATCTAATTCTCTCAGTAATTATCACATTATTTCATGTTAAATCTTAATTGAATACAAGTTTAAATGAAGAATTATTTCAATTCGTACAAATAGCTTACTAAATTAGTAAAACCATAGTTCTTTACTTCGCTAGTAATTCTCATTAGAATTGCTGATTTTAACCCTTGATTTTGCCTTTTCTAGATTTCGCCTTCGGGTGAGCGGTGTGATTGCATCCTAATTGACTTAATTATCGCGAATGGTCTTAGGGCATAAAATTTAATTATCTTTGTAAATATCTCTGTAATTGTATCTAATATTGAAAGAACAATCAATTTTGGTAGAACCGGCTGCGACTTGTTTTGAAAATGAGCCGTAAAAGGTTACCAGCGAAGGTATTCCGTTTGGCATCAGTTGTACCATTATTGACGACTTTATCGTTTGCGCCGGCAAAACGGAAGTATACCAAATAGTGTAATGAAACAGAAAATAAAGCAAACAAAACTCTGAAGCTGCCAAAAAAATTTTAAAGAACAAAAAGAGAATAGCAGATAATGTAAATATAACACGAGTGTAGCAAAACAGTCATTAAATGAAAATGTAAATACGCAGAAAAAAGATGAATGAGAAGAAGCAACTTCAGATTTAATCATATAAATATACGAAATATATTACGCAAGAGCTTAAAATTCTTGTTTTCAAAACGAAATAATTAGAACAGTGAACTATATAGTAGCCTATAGAAGCTTTCTCCAGAAAATACAATTTTGAAGGGGACTCTTGTTGGGAAGGAGGCCCACAAATCCCAACCTTGCGGAGGGCTCCGAAATTACTTAAACCAGTCCAGGCTTCAATTTAATTTTCTGCATTGCTTCACAGTGGTGACTTACACAGATTGAACACACAATCCTCAATCTACAAGTCACCAAGGACCCATACCCTTGAGCACTCATCTTAATATCAATTTAAATATCTGTTCAACACATATTGTCCTTCCTCGTCAGCTATCCCATTAGGTAAGCTATTGAGTGCCACTGCTAACCAATAAACTTATCAGGATCAGTGTGCTTTGACTTAATATTAATTTACTGCACTTTCTCATAATGAAACAGGATAGGATAAGCTCTCCAAGTCACCTTGAGCCTGTAGATCATCGGTGACCAAAAGATTTGAAAAGCACCGACATGTTCGAATTTAATTTTAAAATTGCACTGTATTGCCTCTTCCCTACCAATCGTCAAGGTGTAGGTCATCAGTGATTAGCAGTCTTTTCGTGCACTGACGTCTCTAATTTAAAAATTTACTTTATCGCATACCAGTGATCAAAGGGTAATTTTCCAGTGACTGTCAAACTGTAGATCAGTCGTTACTAATGGCATGCAGGATACCATATGCCTTGATTTAATTTTAATTTCTACATGCATTTAAATTTACTACACCACCTCGGAAAGGGACATGAAATTTTACCTTCAACATGTAAAAACAATAGTGATTAACAGGTGTTTCAATAAATTACCATTTTTGGTAAAAATATATTTACGGGCAAAGAACGTCTATGTAAAGGAAAGGCTCCATACACGTAATGTAAACCCTTTTGTCTTCTACGCCAAGGTATTTGGCGACGGAACCTGTTGGCGAGCGAGAATTTTCACCTTTGTGATCCTGGCCGACAGATTCCTCCTCCGTCACGTGTACAGGAAATTGAGGAACACGGATTAAGATGAATAAGACAATTAGGTGAAGTTTCACTGTCACTGGCTGTTGAACTTGCATTATCCATATCGCAGTTTAATGTCTGATTTTATATCCGTCAATATGGAGGGAAGAAAATGGAGTTGCACAGCTTTAAACTCTTGATAAACGTGACCGTCTAACCTGTTCGAACTTTGGCAACAGATATTTTACGTATGCGCAGCTGTTTCACTTTTCGTTTGAAGGGAGCCACTCCTGCTGCTGCGAAGTTTTCCTTCTTAACAATACATATTCTTTGTTTACGGGTGCCCCTTGGCGAAAATTTGCGATACATGGATACCGAGTTTGTGCAGTTCTTATTAATTTGGCATTGTGCAGCGGCGAGCTTGGGCGCAAAAGTCGCTGCTATACAAAGACAAAATAACAAATCAAAGAAATGCACAAACTCGATATCCATGTACACATCGACCTATTTACACTTAAAACATCAGATAATTGCACAAACTTGGCATTGAGTACTCCCATGACTTTGTCCATGTAATTGATCTATTTTCACTTAAAAAGTCAAAGGAGCACCCAGTTCTATATTAGAGCCAAACCAAAAATACATAATCTCAATAAACTACATTTTAAATCAAAAAATAAAATTACATAAAAAAGGAAATTCATCGTATGCATCTAAGCACTACACAAATCAAATATCCACTTGCTTTATTTAGAAATTTCTGAGTCCTTCAGTCTGTGGCATACAAAATTCCTTAACAGATTCCAAAAACTTCATAAAATTATCTGAACTAGAATCTGTATATCGGCGTCGCCACATAAATTCAGAAAAATAAGAGTAAAAAGATATCTTCTGTAACGCCACTATCCTCCAACGTTCAACTATATGCATTTCCCTTCCTACAACAGGACACTTATAATGGCTACTAAGTAAACCTTCATTTACACACCAGACAATTTTCCCCTTTCGTTCCAAATTGTACAGAAACTTCAAATTAATCTTACCACGTTCAGCCATTCTACCGTCTAAACCACAAAACAAGCAATGTACTTCCTAACCAACACACACCACAAACCCTTATAAATCTTTCCCATGTCATTCAAAATTTATGGCTATGATGCAGCCGATTATGTCATAATAGGGTTTCCATAACATTCAACTACTCAGGTTACCATAAATTAAACAAAAACTTGGCGATAATACAAGGGGCACCCTTCAATCTACTCTAACTCCACTTTTTGTCAATGACTTCAACTGTTACATGAGACTGTTTAATGCTGAAGAAATTTTTTTTTTTTTACTATAAAATTCTAAATAGAAAATGGTTTTACTCTCAGTGTTGACTTTTTTGCTATACTGCTTTCTTCTTACAAATGGAACATGGCAATTTAGTAACTACTATGCTGACCAAGAAGCACACATAGCATTAAAGGTTTCTACAAATCATCCATTCACGTTTACACGATGATTCTGGAAGACTTGAGACAAGATATTTTGCTGATGTATAAAATGGCCAATAAAGTTCAGAAACAATACTTATTCTCAAGAATGAATAAGAAAAGAAAAGTAAATTAATGCATTTATTAAGGTATTCAAATTTCTTAGCAGTTCCTTTACACTTATCTGAACTATGTTTTAATTACAATAAGTAAATATATTAACATACTTATTGTAATAAAAAACCAAGTTTTGAAAAAGAAAAAATGATACAATGTTGTATGAAACAAAACCATTTTTAATTCAGAATTCAAAGCTTTAAAAATATTCCTTTAATACAAACCAATTTGAATGAATCATGGGAAACCTAAAAGAAGGAGGATAATAACAATCATATTTCAATGATGATATCTTCATCCGAAATACTTCTATATGTTTTATCTCATAAAACATTACAATGATGATATCTTCATCAGAGATACTTCTATACGTTTTATCCCATAAAACATTATACATGAATGTCCAACTGAAAAGTAGGTCTGCAGGTTACAGCAGATTTTGATTAATGAAATGTAACGTTTTGAGAAAAAGTTTCAAGCATGTTAAAAAATTATATAAAGTGTAGTATTATAGCTTAATTTCTCTCACTAAAGAGATATTTAATTATATATTTTTCTCAAAACAACCTGCGCATATATGTGGAATAATATGGAGTTTCACGTTGCAGTTAAATGCGTATTAAATTGAAACTTTAACATTCATTTCCAAAAATGTTGCTGTTAAAATATTGCTATTAATTTGAAAAGAACAAAACCAAATTACAATGCATACTACATAACATACTATAACAAACATATACAAAATTCAGAAAAAAGTAGTAATTTTAATGGTGCTGAAATTGAGCATTTACTTTTCAAAGAATGTATGAAAGTATAATACACTACATTAGATAAACAAACAT